TCCTTTTTATCTTCTAAACTTAAAATATTTTGTTAAAATATATAGAACATAATTGGTGCAGAATTTGAAGATCTTTCAAATGATATGTCGAAAAAAGGGCTGACCCCTAATTTAAGGGACTTAGAAGGGCCAAAAGTTTTTTCCAGATATCTCAAAAAGTATTGAGAATTTGTTATACATCAAAGAAGCAAAGTTGTTCAAAATATCAAGCTTTATCTAATGGGGTCGTCAAAATACGTCCAGCGACGTCATTTCCGGTCGAACCGGAAGTAGTCAGAAAATGCATATTTTTGCCGTTTTTGACAGGTTTTTGGGTAACATGTGTCACTAGAAGCTTAAATATTAATTTTCCGTCCGTCGTAGTCACTTCCGGTCAAAGCGGAAGTACCAAAGAATGGCTTAATTTTGCAATACTTAACATAGATTTTGAGGATTAACCCATTTTTGGACTTCATTACTCTTTTCTTTTTAAAAATAAAAACGGTAATATTTCTTTCTAGAATAGAATAGAATATTTAATGAATTTACTTTTAAATCAAGTACATCCATGAAAATTCATTGTAAAATTGCTAAAAGTTTCAAGTACAACAAAATGAAAATTTTTTATGCAATTGCCTGGACATATCGTTAAAAATTAGAATTGAAGGATTTTTTCATAGATCAGCTTCTTCTTTTTTACGTACAATAACGTACAATATAACAGTGAGGCAAAATTTCCGCAGAAACCCCTGGTAATACCTAACCAGGGGTGCAAGGAGCTCCCTGGATCGATATAATATTATATAATATATCCAATATTTGAACACAGAATATTTTCACATTATACTAATATATAATTATTGACGCTTCATTTTCAAAAATATACATAAATATCTCAAAGCAAATTAGCACCATGTTTATATTTAATAACAAAGTATAACCCTTGTAGTGGAGATTGTGTGGAAAAAAAAAGAAAGAAGTCTATATCAATCTCACTGTAACTAGATCAGCTTCTCAATGTTCTGTATTTGTAAAGGAAAACTATCTCTAATTATAAGGAACATCTGAGACGCACAAATATTTCAAAATATTTTAAACAATAGAATACAGTGCCTTTTATGTAATGCATTGTATTCCTGAAGGAGAACAACAACAAAAGAATTATGTAGAAAATATATTTTAAATCTCCACATTATTGTCATGGAATATTATATGTATTTTCCACTTGATATAAAACTTTTTTCCAAGAATTTTGATTGCAGAAAGGTTTTTAAATGAAAAATAGACATCATCAAGTATACATATTAAATATTCCGAAATTAGTATTCCATTTCTACGTTGGTTTGAAATATCCTTGAACTCAAATGATAGGTGGTACCTCGGAGTCTGAAACGTGTGTTCTATATTTGGATATTTTATTTAAAATCTTGACGGTATCTTTATGATAAACAAACTTAAATGATAAACGCAATGATATATGTATATTGTCAATGTCCTTTACTTATGAAGCAATGTACTATTTCATCCTAGATTTAGCGTTTATCTCTCAGTTAATTCGATTTACTAGAGTATACTATAAAGACAACAATATCTATCGGAAACGAAAAAGCTATGAACAAATTAGCTGACGAAACAAGGATAACGACATTTTTGGGTTGATTGAAATCTAGATATGTCAATAACATAGAAATATATTCTTGCATTATCTTGAATGTTAACTGACATTTTCATACAAACTCTCAGCTAATTATTTTCACACTGAGCTTTGTTGTAATTATCATTTGACAGAGCTTATAATTTATTCCATGCGTACGTATTTAATAGAATTCATTTTGTTTATTTTTTCATTTTTAAGTCATTCATTATCATCTGCCATTGTTGAAAAAAAAATATGTATCAGTTTGTTTCTGCATTATAACTATTTTATTCCTCATACATTTCAAATGATTCATGCATGTTTTACTCGTAATTTATGGAGACATTTGTCTTTCTATATCTGCGACATTCAAATTACACCCAATGTTTTCATTTAATATTGAATTATACCAGCCCTATTTCGATAGAATATTGGTATTCCACTAAGTCCTTTGTGCAAATCAGTTTCTTTTATTTTGATTTTTATTAGTAACAATTATGTTTTTTTTAAATCAGTTGTTTTCATATCGATCTTAATAAAAGTATGTAGGTTTGAATCATATATTCTTCACGTATGAAATAGAAGAGTTGCTTTCATTAAATTTGAGCATTGCATACAGCCGCTCTTTGTGTTGGCCAAAATAATTATTCGGAACTGAACACATACGAATAGAAGATGCCAATGATTCATTTGATTCTACATATTTATAATTACAGCAATCACTTCCTGCAGTTGAAATGCTGTCTTGTGTAAAACTTCATCACCATACACAAGGATATTTATTTTTATTTTTTAAAAAATTAAGTAATAATGCTATTGAGTATTTTTCTGTTTTAATTTTAACTGTAATTTGTTTCAATGAAATGATAAGAACTGACACTTTAAAGTTTTTTTTATGTAGCCCATATGATTTAGAATTATTATTTTTTTTACTTTCCTTTGTTAAAACACGTGATCAAATTAATCAAAATGGTTGACATAGAAGAAGAATATATCATTAAGTAATATTGGTCGTGGTATAATATTTTTCGATATGATTTATTGAAATATTTCTCACTTTACTCATTAGTCAAAAATGAAGCTCTAGCTGTTATTTAGAGACTGATATTAGATTGGTTTGTCTATGTGCAATATTTAACCTCCCCATTATTTTTACAGGAAAGAAAAAGACCACGAGTACGTTTCAATTTCAACCTGAAGAAGAAAACCTACGTTTTGTCAGAAATGTAGACTTCAACAAGTGATTTACATTTGGATCCAAATTAAGCGAAAACATCCTTCATCAGTTAATAAATGTCCATCTTTATCATGAAATAGCCGAATGAAAACGAGGAAGACATTCCCATAGTTTTTTATTGTGTCATAGAAGATATATACCCCTATTAGAAATAATGATCTATAATTGTCCGTATTAACAAATGAATTTATGCATGTCAAAAAACAAATAATTAAAAAGCAAACCTAAATATATAATATAGGAAATATGACCAGTACATGGCTTCATTTGAAGAGATACGATATTTTGTTATGTATGAAATGTTCAAGCTACATATAAGTCGTTATACTTTACTGAATATTAAAAATTGTTTCTATTTCCTATTTAAGATCTTGTCATTAGCAGTGTTTCCAATCATTAAGAATAATTCATGCATACTTCTCAGATATTTTATAGGGATATAAAACATAGATCACTTTGTTATATATGAAGCATTCGATAAAAAGTGTGTATTTTTTTTTATCTTTGTTTGAATTAACAGACGATCATATTTAAATAAATGAAAAAAGTACGAATTTAACTTTTGTCTCAAAATTCATGGAATATCATATGACAGTACTACCTTCCTCATTGAAAATCAAGGTCTCTTTTTATCTCACTCGCAGATATGTCACAGCCTTAAATTTTCTCTCGGCATGAAAATATTTAGTATTTATTCTTCTCAGAAATATTATTTAACTCTTCCACAATGCAGCCCTTATTAATTTGTTGGTCAAAAGTGCTGAAGCAATCCGACATCTTCCAACCCTTCAATCTAGCTAGTCCCACAGTTGTTCGATTGAAGAAAATATAATATGGAATTTACGAAGGACAGCCAAGTGAGTTAAAGTGAATGAAGAGTCTTGACAAGCTCTGGCTACATTGGACAGGGCGTAAACATTTTAAAAATTTGGTCACACTTTGCACGTTCGAGTCAGTGAGAGGAACACGTTTTCATAATTTTCGGGCGGAGAGTCCAAAATGTTCCATTTATTATGTTACCATGCATTTCTTTTTCCCTAATGTATATAATATATTCGCTTCGGATCGGGGGTTCAATTTTGAAATACATCATTTGTCCTCTTGTTTTTGTTTTGCATGGAATTCAATGAAAAAAGGATAAGAGCAGCGGTGATTTATTTCTGCAACTGGTAATCCAATTTAAACTCTTCGATGTTTTCCTAAGGAGGAAATTTTTCAAAATCTTTTTTAATATTTTGAATATTTTTAAAAATCCTGAATGATTTGAACAACTATACTTATACTGGATTCCTAAGCTAAATAAGAATCCCTACAGAGATGCCGAGCGGGTTTCGGCAAATGTTCTAAGAAGCATCTTGCTATACTCCTCGCTAAAATATAAACTTCAGTGAAGGATAAACTTATGTAGTTACTGTTCAACACTATATTCAGAAATTGTTGTTACTCCACGGGTATGTATATAAAGAAACCTCCAAGAATCTTTTAGAAAATTTGAAATACAAAATTTCACCAAAATTAAAAACAAAAAATGAACGACTTTTCAATTCCCCGTGCAACCATTCCCAGCTATAAAAATAACGCGCAGGTCTTTTTACACTATAGTCAACTATTTTTTTCAACAAAAATGGAACTCGATAATTTACTTATCTTGCTATTGGCCATCTGTAGACTTCTTAAAAACTGTCATATAAGTCGTCGGAGTCGCATCACATAGACAACCACATGGAGGTTTCCATCTTTATTCAATTAACTAATGTAAAACATAGAACCCAAAAATGATACATTGTATAATTCCGGATTACTGATACATGACATCTCCCTTCTTAAGTTTACTGTACAAATGATATTAATAAAAGTATTTAATGTAGAGTACACAATAAACTATTAAATTTACATAGACATTCTAATATTATTTTCTAAAGTCATTGAACTTTAAAATGAGAGTTTTTGACTAGAATGAATGGAATTGTGTCCACAATTTTGAATAAACAGAACAAGTATCAAATTGTAAACTATTAACATGTAAACAAATGATAATATGCTTTTTATATGGTTTTCACTAGGCATACTACCTTCAAACCATATGTGGGGATTATTCTGCCCCTTGAACGAAAACATAAAGTAACACAGGTTCATTAAATTTCACAATCACATTTCACAATCAGAATACTTGGCAGGTACTTTGACGATGCGCCCAGATCTTGTTTGCTGAGGGATGGATGGACACGCATACGAATTCGACTCGACAGGTTTGGAAGGATTTGCGACTGGTGAAGTGGTAGGATTTGGAACTTCATTCGGTGGTCTTGATCGAGTTGGAATTGCATCAGCATTTACAAATGGCTGCAAGTTTTCCTTCGGAATGTTCCTCATTAACGGAGTCGACTGCGTTGGTCTGAGCATTTTCCGATTCCTTCTGTAAAGTTTGCTGTCAGGGGTCTGCACAATGTATGACCTCGGTGCGTGATGTTTTGACTTAACTGTAGCATGTTTCCAGATGTTACCATGCTGAATCATAACTGGATCTCCATCCTTGAGTTCTGGTAGCACATTGCCCGCTTTTCTGTCATAGTAAATCTTAGATTTCACTTGTCGCTTTTGTAGTTTCTCCTGTATTTGTTTTGAGTTTGATGGACGTAATAATTTACTTGTAGTAGGAAGTAAAGTTTTCAAACGTCTGTTCAAGAATAGCTGAGCTGGTGACTGACCTATATCTAATGGCGTATTGCGGTAGTCCATCAAAGACTTGTATGGATCTGATGACTTCTTTAGTAAGCGTTTCACTGTCTGGACCATTCTTTCTACTTGACCGTTAGACTGAGCAAAATAAGGACTAGACGTAATATGAGTAAATCCATAGTCCTGAGCAAATTGTTTGAATTCATTACATGAGTACTGCGGACCATTATCTGAAATCACTTCATCAGGAATCCCATATTTTGCGAACTGGCTTTTCAAAGCTGCAATCACATAGGTTGCTGAAGGTTCAGTTAATTTCATGACTTCTGGCCATTTGGAATAGTAGTCGACGGTCAATATATAATGTTTGGAGTTCAGCATAGCCCATGGGCGGTCAGGTAAGTCAACTAAGACAAGTGGCTCTTTTGGGTTGCTGTTCTGAGTTCCAGCACATATAGGACATTTGGAGACCATGTCTTCTATCTGAGATGACATTCCTGGCCAATATATGACTTCACGTGCTCGATTTTTACATTTCACTATTCCCATGTGCGCCTGGTGAATAATGTTGAGCATTTCTGCTTGCATTGACTTCGGAATTATAAGCTTGTCTCCTTTGTATAAAAGACCATCTAAGCAAGCGATTTCATCTCTGAATGACCAATATGGATGTAGACAATTTGGTACGTGATCTTTGTCTGATGGCCAGCCATTCTGGACTGTGTCTCTTAACGACTGTAAGACATCATCATCTGCCGTCTTCTCCTGTAGTTCAACATAGCGTTTCTGTGACACTGGTAAGTATGTGGCAGGTGAGACTAAGTTTACTTCCAGATCAGGAACAAGTTCTTCCTCTGTTTCATGTAAGTATGCACGACTGAGTGTGTCTGCTATGTAGAGTAACTTTCCTGGCTTGTATTGAACATTCAAGTCATACTTCTGTAGAGTTAGTAGGAGTCGCTGTAATCGCATAGGTGCTTTACATAGAGGTTTGCTGAATATCGACTGTAGTGGTTTGTGATCTGTTTCCACATGTACTATTCTGCCGTAGACATACTGGTGGAATTTTTGGCATCCATAAACAACAGCCAATGTTTCCTTTTCAATTTGTGCATAGTTTTGTTGTGATGATGTAAGAGCACGGGAACCATATGCGATAGGTCTTCCTTCTTGAATCAAAACTGCTCCAATTCCCTTAGAGCTCGCATCTACAGATAACGTCAGTGGTAACTTAGGGTCATAATACCTCAAAACAGGTGCGTTCGTTGCCATTGTTTTTAATGTTTCAAAGCTCTCGTCATGCTGAGCTGTCCAGTTCCAATCTGCATGGTTTTCAGTGAGTTTCCGCAATGGTGTGCTGACTTCAGACATCCGAGGCATAAATTTTCCTAGGTACTGTACAAATCCAAGGAAAGTAAGTAATTCACTTTTGTTGGTTGGCTTTTCCATCGCTATGACAGCACGGATTTTCTCTGGATCCGGTTTCACGCCTTCATCTGTCAACATATGTCCAACATATTTCATACTTTTGCAACGTATCTTGCACTTGTCCATGCTTAGCTTGAGATTGAACTCTCTGGCCTTTTCCAATACCTTCTTGAGACGTTCATCATGTTCCTGTTCTGTTGAACCCCATATCAAAATATCGTCTATTATAGCCTCTGCTCCTGGTATGTCTTCTACCATCTGTGAGGTTATTTTCTGAAACACTTCAGATGCTGATTTTATACCAAATGGTAATCTCGTAAAACGAAAACGCCCAAATGGAGAGTTGAAAGTAGTTAGTTTCGAGCTCTCTTCATCCAGCCTGATCTGCAAAAAGCCAGACACAGCATCAAGCTTACTAAAAACTTTGGCATTTGGCATGTTGGCTATGACTTCATCTATTGTTTTTAATGGAAAGTGTTCGCGTAATATGGCTCTATTTAGATCCTTCGGGTCTATACAAATGCGAATCTTCTGTCCTTTGTTTACTACTACCATGCTGTTGACCCATGGGGTCGGTTCTGTTTGCTTAATAATCACACCAGAGTCCTCCATAGACTTAAGCTCAGCGCGCACTTTATCCAATAACGAAATGGGAATTTTTCTTGGCGGGTGAACAACAGGTTGTACACTTGCATCAATTTTGATTGAATGAGTTTCTGGTAGGCAACCCAGTCCTCGAAATAAATCTGCATAATCACTTCCTGGGAAAATATCAGATAAAGTCTTTAAAACTGGGGTGTCCTCATTTATGACATTCACACGATGGACGAGATTCAATGATTTACATGTTTGGGCTCCAATGACGTTGGGTGCGTCCAAGTCAATGATGTAGAAATCAGTCGTGTATTTGCATCCTTTGTGAGTCACCTCAAGTTGCGCAAATCCACTAGGTTCTATCACATGTCCTGAGTACGACTTCAAACGAAATGCTGGTTTCTTGAGTTCTTCACTAAATTTCAACTGTTCGAAAGTTTTTCTGTTCAACACATTACATTTTGCTCCTGTGTCCAATTGAAATTCAACCATTGTCCCACAAAGTTGTAGTTTTGTTGACCAGTCTGCGTTCGCACTGTTAATATCTTTGGTAAGCATTCCCAGAAATAAAGTGTCATCTGAATCATCTAACTCCTCCTGCAGAGTATGTACGGATTTGTTGCTTTTATTCTTGAATTTGTGCTTTGATGTATACGACACTTTCGATCTACACACACACTCGTAGTGGTCCTGCTTGTTACATTTTCTGCAGAGTCTACCAATAGCTGGACAGGTTTCTCCTCTTTCGTGCTCAGATTTACCACATCTTGTGCAACTTGTGAACGACTTCTGATTCTTGAAGTGTTTTCGTGGTCCTTGTGTGGGTTTTGTTTTGGCTTGACTGGTATAGTGATTTATTTTCTGTCTGTTTATTATGTCAATCTTTGGATCCTGTTCATGCATTGTTTTTAGCTGGGCCTGTGATAACTCGTAAGTACGCGCAATGTCTATTGCCTTCTCTAACGTGAGGTTTGAGCCCTCATTTATCAGTTTTTCACGGATTTTGTCCGACCTTACTCCGAATACTAGCCTATCTCTCACCATCTCGTCTGCATTTTGGTATCCGCAGTCCTTAACACCAACTTTTAAAGCTGTGATAAATTGTTCACATGAGTCACTTTCACTTTGTGCAATGCATTGAAAATTATACCTAGCGAATACGTGGTTGGACTTCGGTTCTACATATGCCTTAAATTTCCCGTATAAAGTTTCAAGTGATTTTTTCTCATCATTGTTTAGATTCCAAGTTCCATATATTTCTCTGCCCTTATCTCCGACCCATATCATCAAAAAACTGCATTTTTCTTCTTCAGTCTTTTTCTTGAGCGGACCATTAAACATGAATTCAACATGTGTTTTGAATGTCTGCCATGCTTTCGGCAGGTCTCCCGCGTTCCAGTTTAGAATTGGCGTTGAGCCAGCTACTGCACTACATACATCAGTCATGTTGCTAATTTTGTTTTATTTGTGAACTTACTCTTTTAAGCTCTTTTACTTTCTTTGTTAAGTTCCTTAACTTCTGACACCATGTCATATAAGTCGTCGGAGTCGCATCACATAGACAACCACATGGAGGTTTCCATCTTTATTCAATTCAAGCTCCAGACAGCTCAGTATTACGTTACGCTACAACTCCATATCATCGCTGCCACAGGCCTTTTCATATGACCTCCTTGAACCATGGTTGACTGCGTGACGTCACAGTTAAATTAGGCGCGGTAAAATTTAGAGAATGCTAGATCTATCAAATATTGTGCGACGAGTGAAAATGCTGTTGATACATGTATGAAACAAGATACAAACTCTAGCAAATTCCCTGTTGTAAATTCTATCATTTTTTTTAAATTAAAATATTTAATTGATCATGTCTATCATGGTTTAAACACGCCAGATAATAAAAAAAAAAAACAAGTTGAGTTATTTATGTGCTAAGTACTAAATTCAATTTGTTTAATATTTTTAGTTCACACAAAAAGCATTAGGTTCATCATTAACAAGCTTTATGCAAACAGTTTGTTTTTTTACTGATTTATTGA